AGAACATAGAGTAGATAGATAGATAGATAGATAGATAGATAGATAGATAGATAGATAGATAGATAGATGATAGATAGATAGATATAGATACATAGAACATAGATAGAGTTGATAGATAGATGAAAGATAGATAGATGATGGATGGATGGATGATAGATAGATAGATAGATCGCCAGCCAGATGTAGACAGACAGACAGACAATAGGCAATAGTTGTTGTATCAGAGAGCCGATGTCTCTTTTGACCACCACAAAGCTAACTTTGGCAAAACTTTGCCATGAAACATGGCCTATCTCGGTACTTTTTGAAATATAAGATCATGGTTTACCTTTTCACCTTTTTCTCCTTCTTCCCCTTGGTGGCCTTTGGGTCCTGGAGGGCCCACTGGCCCAATTTCCCCCTAGACACGGGAACAAAATGGAAGTTTTGTGAGCCATTCCCAAACCATGCTAAGCAAATTTCTCTGCAAATCATACTCCTACGAGAAGTGTTTTTCCCAGCCAAATGAAGTGACCCAACTTAATTTATATCTCCTGGTTGATTAGGGACTAAGTTTTTCTTCAAATGCTACATCTCTGAACATTACAAAACGAACCAGGAATAATATTATTATTATTATTATGCAGTCATAAGTTCTCGACTTACGACTGCAATCAAAACCAAAACTTAAGTGGCTCAGTGAGAAATTCGTTAAGTGAGTGTTGCCCCGTTTTACGACTTTTCTTGGTGAAGTGAATTACGGCAGATCTTGGTTATTAAGTGAATCTGGTTTTCCCCACTGACTTGGCTTGTCAGAAGGTCGCAAAAGAGGATCGCGTGACCCCGGGACGCTGGAACCGTCATAAATGTGAGTCAGGATGTTGTAACTTTGAATGGTCACTAAATGAATTGTTGTGAGTTCGAGGTCTACCTGTAGTCACAGCTCTCCTTAATTGTCCTGGTCTATCTAAAACCTTCTTGAGATGTTCTCCAGTTTCACGATTTTCTTCTTTGGGATTCTGTCAATGCCCTTCCAACTTTGGCTTCCGAAGTAGATGTCTCTACTTACCCGAACACCTTTCCTTCCTGGAGGTCCCACCACCTAAGGACCAAGAGATCAAGTCAGGATCTTGTAATCCGGTCAAAACCCCAATCACATTGGCCGAAAGTTTTCCTAAACTTTTCAAAATGTATATATATATATATATGGCTGATAAACCAGCGTTGTCTGGATATGTATTTATCCCAAACCTGGATTAGAGGAAGCCCCCTTGTGGAGTACTGCAAAGCCATTACCGGGGCAACTCCACGGTGCTGTACAGTAGAAGCCATTTTAAGGCACAACAGGCTGTATCCTAACAGAACTTGAATCCAAAATGCACACTATCACTGTCAAAAGTACTGTGACTTGACACTAAAGATATAATTCAGCCCTTTTCATTTCAGCGGCCCAGGCGCTCCAGAGTTATGCTGGAACACACACACACACGGACACACTCAAACCCCGAGGGGTATTAGGAGTGCCTTAAACCACCTCCACCACCAGTATTTGTTTCTAGAGAGTAAATCATTTGTGTGCTCGAGGCGTTCCAGAGTTATGCCGGAGTTATGTGTATTATTTATACATTTTTCTTTAACATACATAAGTCCTTAATAAACAGTGTATTGTCTGGTCGGTTTACTTGTACGTAATAATAGTACTTCTGTAAATCTCTATAGGTAGTCCTCAACTTACAACGACTTGTTTAAGAACCATTCCCTTTTTGCAGTGCCATTGTAACTGGATGGTCACTAAATGTTAAGTCTAGGGCAACCTCTATTCCCAGACAAAGGCTTTGCGTTTGTTTAAAATTAGCTCAGGGCCCCCGAGAGGCATTTCGGCTGAGACCACGATAAAAGTGAGACTTACCCCCATAGCTGGCGCACCGGGAAATCCTTGAATGCCCTAAGAAGAAGGAGAAAAAGTCAGATATATATGAGCAATGTATGTATGTATGTATGTATGTATGTATGTATGTATGTATGTATGATTATAAGATCATGCATTTGCATCCACTGCTCTCCTCTCCTCTGCCTTCTGTGCATCCGCACGTCAGGCATTCAGGGATATTCCATCCCAAGGACCAGTCCATAGATTTCCACTGTTCTCCTCTGCCTTCTGCACATCCGGCACTCAGGGATCTTCTGTCCCAAGGACCGGCCCATAGATTTCCACTGCTCTCCTCTCCTCTGTCTTCTGCACATCTGCACATCAGACACTCAAGGATCTTCTGTCCCAAGGACCGGCCCATAGATTTCCACTGCTCTCCTCTCCTCTGCCTTCTGCATACCTACTCATCTCTGCCCCCTGCCTTTGATCCCCAGAGCTAGGGTGGGACTTCGCCAGCAGTGGTGTCTCTTCCGTCCCAAGGACCGGCCCATAGATTTCCACTGCTCTCCTCTCCTCTGCCGGTTCCAACGACCCAGGCCGCCAAACCACTACTGGTTCAGCCGAACCGGTAGTAACCTACCTCTGGTTATTATGTAATATAAGATTGGAAGATATGGCCCAGTGAATCGCCCGAAAGTCGGATATGGTTGAATGGATAACATAATCGTCATCAGATACAAGCTTATTCTATTAGTGAAAAGATGGTTTGTTGTATTCATTTTTTGTTTTACTTACTTTGTCTCCTTTCGGTCCCTCGGGGCCTGGAAGTCCCTAATAATAATAATAATGGCAATTATTATTATGATGATGATTTGAAGGCCATTGGCATTGGCATAATTACCACCACTCAATTGGAAAAGGCAGTTTGACTTGGAACAGCTTTAATCCTGCTATGAATCGTTCAACATAGGGGTAGGCAACGGTGAGAAAGTGTTAGAATAGAACAGAAATAGAATAGAATAGAGTAGAATGCAGAATAGAATAGAATAGAAATACAGTAGAATAGAATAGAATGCAGAATAGAATAGAATGCAGAATAGAATAGAAATAGAATAGAATGCAGAATAGAATGCAGAATAGAATAGAATAGAATAAAATGTAGAATAGAATAGAAATAGAATAGAATGCAGAATAGAATAGAAATAGAATAGAATGCAGAATAGAATGCAGAATAGAATAGAATAGAATAA